TCTTTGCTAGAGTTGTTACTTTAGGTAGTTTTTTTAGTTCATGCTACTGTAGATCAATTCATCAATATACCTGGTTTTAAATACCTGTTTTTAAAAAAACCCAAACTAACAAGAAGAAACCCTCTCTCTACAGATGCTTCCTGTGCTTTTATCATTCATGAACTCAACAACTGTTGTTATGAATATAACTGACAAATGCATAAAATCTATTATTATAGATTATATTATATAATATAATTAATTATAATGAATATAATTATTTATCATACATCAATTAATATAATTAATATTAATCCTATTAATATAATTATAAACATAGAAAATAAAATAAATATAAATATATTAATTATAGATATTATATAATACATAAATCTATTATTAGAGTTTAAATTTCTACAACTTGATAAAGACAACAAGAAAACTAATTTCAGAGAAAAACTGACTGCCCCTCAGAGCTAAGAAATTGATGAGTTTGCTCTGTGCCAATATGCACTCACAGACCAGCACAAATGTGAATAATAAAGTGCAGTAGAGCTGATGCACACACATCTGCAAAAGACACATAAACCTCAAAGGGCATGTTCTGAACAAAATTAAACTGCACTGAGACTCAGGGAACAGAGTCCATGTTTGAGAAGATGGGTGGAGGAGGGGGATCACGCCTGGAAGAACCATCAGGAGAGACTCAGGATGTTCCTGCCTGAAATGCCATCCTAGGAGCCCTCCAGAAGAGGATTTGCTGTCTGACAACCTCTAAACTCTCCATATGCAATCTCCTGCTAAATGACGGTAAAACTAGTAACAAACAGTAGGATTATGTCAGCGCTTCTTTTCCCCAACAGAAAGTCGACTGCAGTAAATCAGAGACCAGACCAAAAGACTGCTGATAACACAGGACTATGTCTCTCTGCAAAACTCAGTTCAGAAGATGATCTGGCTTGCTACTGTGGAAAAGATTAATCCCACAATTTCATCATTCTGCAATTTTCTCACCACACAGAACAACTATTTGCAGCAATTATTAGTCTGTACCCAGGAGCAAAATTAACCATCACTGAGAGATGCTGAAAGACACATAGGAAACAAAGCCATTTTCTCCTGAAATAAAAACATGATGGATTTTTATAAGAGACTGGTCTGAACCAGGAAATTGAAAAGCTGATTAGCTTGTAAAGCCTTTTTACAGCCTCAAGTGCTGCTAAATTTATTGATCATCATGGAACATTGAGCCAGACAACTTCCATAACACAGACTCGCTCCTACTGGTTTCTTCTATTTTGAATACCAGAATAAAATTTCTGCTATTTTGGAACCGAGAAGAAACTTGACAATATTTAATCACTGAATGTTATGTATCAGCTAAAGCTGGCTAACCATACTGCTTAATTCTAACGTAACAGGTTTTTTCAGCAGTGGTTTTTGAGACAACCTATTTGAATTTAGTGACACTACTTCAAATGTTATCAAGCAAATCAGTGAACAAGATCTGTATCATATTTACCACAGAGTAGAACAAGGCTTCACACCACCTAGAAATTAACTGATCTGCCAAACAACCTTTCAGTTAGATTTCTATTTTAAGATGTCTGAATTTCAGCAACTTAATTCAAGTTCAAAGCTTGATACTGGCATGTTTGCTTTTCTTTATTTCATTAACTATTAAGACTCTGAAACAGCTTTATGCTTAAACAAAAAACAACTGAGGGTAGTGAATGACAATTCACTCTAAACAATTTTTGTACCATTTGACTCTTTCTTAAACTTCCAACACCTCTGTTTATGCTACTTATATGCAGGAAGTTAGGGTTGTGCAGAAAAATTTAGAATTATCCCACAGGTAATGAAAAGAAGCACTGTGCATTTGTTTGTTGTTGTTTACTTCTTTTGGAAGCAGGAAAAGACTTTGATAATTGGTCAGAAATCATGTACACTACCTAAACATGAAGAACTCTTACATACTCACAATGCAACTTGTGACCACAAGAAATTACTTAAACTCCAGTGTGCAGCGTGGCTACTGCTTTAAAGGCTTTACTACATATGAAGGCAACTTCTATGTAATGTCCTTTCATGATGAGGGAAAGCGATCTGGAAAGAAAGTCATTACGTGCCAAGCGGGTAACAGACTTCATATGCTGCCTTCACATCTGTGCGCCTGCAAAGAGACCACGTCAATATCACAGGCTGCACACTCCTTGTTCCTTTTAAATTACATCAATAATCTGCTTTAAACACACTGTTCTTACTTCTCTTTAAAAATGTGCTCCTCAATTACCGCCTCTTGGAAACTTCCTGTTTCTGTGCCTATAAATTCAACAAGGTGGTGCACACTGAAATTTCATTTTCGTTCAGTCATATTCAAATATTAGAAGCAGTGCTCCAGTCCAGTCACGGCTCTTCTCAGGTTCCCACTCTGCACAATACAGCATTACAGTAATGTATGAGCTGGTCACTGCAGACAAGCTCTCCTTTTTTTGTAGGCAGTTCAAAAAATCCTTTTTTTCAGTTCTACCTCCTGCACACTGTTAGCATTTAGCTACAGTTAACTGCTTCCATTTCTGTGTGTTGTTTCAAACACGAGAATGTTCCACACCTATCTGCAGCAGCAAACTGCAGCCTGATAAGTAAACACCATGAAAACAGGAGATTAGGTGCCAGCCACATGCCATACAGTGCTGCTGAGCTCAGCTGGGATTTGTGTCACTTGGTCTGCAGTGTTGCAAAACCCTGCTCAGCAGAGCTGGGATAGAACCAGGGAATTGCAACCAGAACCAGTACTCTATAAAGGTGGGGTGCGGTGGGATTAAAAAGTAATGGTATGTAAAAGAGGACTTCATTTTATGACTGAAGATCTCCGAGGTTATGAGCTCGATTACTTCTATTACAACAATGAAGCCAGGCCATACTCAAGCTGAGCAGTACTCTGAATTAGAAATTGCATTTTTCACCACAAGGATGCAGAAACAAAATATTATTCATGAAGCTATATGAACTGATACACACACAGTCATGGTTACCAAAACGAATGGAAAACAATAAAGGAAAATAAACAAAAACTACCAAGTCAAGGAATCTTAATAGAACTTTGCTGCGAAAAGATCATCTAGAGATAACACTGCATAAACAGGGGTGATGGTGGTATATTGTTGGGATTTTATCTTCAATCATTTTAGAAAAATTCAACATTATTTTATCATTTCTATTTAAAAAGAGGCAGACTGGGGCACTTCTTGCTTCAGCTGTGACTTCCCTCCTGGGGATCAAAAATGTTAATTTTCTAGATGGTCCAAGCAATCCTACTAAGCATGGCATAAAGGCAGGCACAGACCTGACTTCTTCCAGAACCAGAAGGGTTTCTGAACCTTAAGGAGTTCCCAAGGAGTATCCAAGGCCACTGACCTCTCCTGTTGCCCTGCCAGGCTCTTCCTTTGGCAGATGAGAGTCAAGTGTCAGTGAGTGGAGACATTCTCATCTCAGGATAACAAAGGGCAGAAATGGTGAGAATGCAGAGGCTGGAGAACTATTCACTGAAAAAGCAGTTCCTTTGCTTTCTGGACTCCTCTACCACCACTCCGTATTCTCCCAAGAGCCACTATCTTCAGAGCAGCATAGCTTTGCCTAGATTTCAAACTAGGAGTGTATGCCTAAAGTGCAAAGCTCTAGATGTGAGGAAAACGTGGTCATGAAGCTAGTTTCTGCAACTCCAAGATCAGAAACAGAATTTTCTTCAAGTTCAACATACCCTGAATATCTAATCATTCAAAAAAACCCCAAAGCAACCCCCCAAACAAAAAACCAACCAAACAAAAAAACCCAAAACCAAACCCCAACAAAAACCCTAACCCCCCAAAAAACCACACAACCCACCCCCAAACCCCTAAACCAAAAAAGCACCATTCTCTACAAAAAGCTGACAGTAACAAATAAGCTAGCCTACTGTATGTTTTATATCAATCTAAAAAACCCTATCATTGAGGAAGCTAGTTGTCAAAAAAAAAAAAAAAAAGATATCAAAAACTCAGCAAAGGTGTCTGCAATGTTCAAGAATTCTGGGCTATTTAATGTGCTATTTTCACTTTCTCCAGAGAAAACAGGAGTAAGTATTATACTACCCACAATAAGCAAATAGTGGCATACCTTAAGCAACACCCACTTACCTAATTTCTACTACTGCAGAAAGAATACAATTTATTGAAAAGTATTATTTCTTCCATATGTGTGCTGTATCAGATGTTTCAGCATCTTTTAGGTTATATATTTTTAAGAATACTAAAGTATTGATACCTAAGCACAGTTCAACCAAGACGTTGCTCTTACAGATCACCACACCCTGACTACGCAATATGCTGTATGTGCCACAGGCATATAGGCTCTGCATTTGTATGCCAAAAAAATTATGTGGGTCTTGGAAGCAGGAACAGCGTGGGCTGTGAGCAAGAAAAAAATGCCAACCACACCCTAAAACAAAAACATAAATACAACAGCAATATAAGAACAACTTAGACACCACTTTAAAAGTTTGTTTCTCCTTCCCTCTCTACTTCCAACTGCTTACGTCAGGTGGTGTTACAGCGTCTAAAAAGGGTGTTTACTTTGTTAATGTAATTTTAGAAGCTAATTAACTACACACAGCTCGCTCTGGAGCGTTTCAAGTCTGCTGACAACTGAATCACGTCGGAAGCCTTGAAGTTGGCAGCCTGTGTTACTTCAGCCCACAAAACTCCCAAAAGACAGGGAGGGGGAGAAAGGAAAAAAAAATATACAAAAAAGGGACTGCAACACGAACACAAATGAGCCTCAAGCAGAGGCAGCAGGAAAGCAGAGCCAACAAAAATAGCTAACTCACTTTGGATAGACGTGTACCTTCTGTTTTCAGCAGGAATGGCAGGATGCGGCTGCTTTTCGCCCCAGCGCTGGAGCAGCTGTGGTTGTGGCTTCCGGGAGTGCAGGCAAAGCCCAGCCCGTGTGCTGAGTGGCGCAATCTCCACCCACAGCACGGCTGCCTCCCTGCCAGCACGGCCCCACGGTGCCAGGGGAGGGGACCCAAACCAGCAGGTTCAGGCTCCGCTAGCACGGTGGAAGCGAGATACCACGATGAGCAAACCTGCCTCCCAATCCCGGGGTCACTTCTGGTAAGTGGCTGGACCAAGGCCCCCAGCAGGGACAGCTGTCAGCAGGCTGACACTGCGAGTCACACAGCAAAAGCAGGGGTGAAATGCCTGCTTGAGATGGTGCAACATTCAGCTTTCAAAAAGCTGTGTTCGCCTTTCGAGTTAGTTGCACTGGTGCCACAGAAAGGAAACCACTCATTTCCCCTCAAGAGACCAATATTCCTATTAGAAGTCTACAGGATACCCCCCCCCCTAAATTTGAACTGATTAACCAGGCTCCCAGAGTACACAGATGTTACTAATTGAAAGTCATTATCATGGTTTGGACCAGTTAAGGCCATCAAAACTTGACTGACTAGGAATTTTTTTAAGCATAACAAATCTAAATGATTTATATTAATTTATAAATTAAAAGGTTCTTCCTGAAATACCCATAGTGACCTGCTCTTGAATTTATTTTTTTTTGGCTCTATAATCAAATTCTCAATACTTGTCATATGGGATTGTAACTTCAGATACCTTTTACTCAAAAATTATTCCTTTACAAGATGCCTCTGCAAAGGTCACCAAATAAAAACCGGGTGACAGTTAAATAAGGTATGCAACAAAAAGAAACCTAAACAGTAAATATACTGATAGTAGGAACCACTTTTGATGATAAACTAGATTAACTTATCCACTGCAGAAATAGTGGGACTTCACTCAAAGGTATTTAGTAACTGCCTTTTTTATCTTGTGTTCCTGTTCATTGTATAAGAAAGCAGACTGAATGCCCCCTTAAAACAGTGATAATTTGGATGCCAGTTGAAAGCAAGTAGCCTTAAATTTCTTAAATCATTAAGGTCAAGAAGCTTTCTGTGAAAATCTGAAATCAAAGTAATTCTTACTGAATTTCCACTGTTGTTGAGCTCTTCCAGCACTGTTTCAAAAAACAGTCCATGATAGTAAAATGGACAAAGACTCTCACTTCTCTAAGCTATGGCAGCCAGCCACAAAAAGAAAATTATTACTTGTTAAGAGCAATGCAAAAAATCTACTACATAAAAAGCAGCAAAACTTCATCTGTTATCAATGGAATTACCACAAAAGAACACAAAGATGCAAGAAAGGTGGCTGGATCCATCTGTGTTCAATTATCAGTGCCTTCTATTAATAGCTATGATTGAACATTGAGCTAGAAACTGGCTGTGGAACTGGCAAAACCATCATTAAAGGCTGTAAAAGAAAACGCAACAGCACTGGTAGGGGATCTTCTGCAGAGGGAGGAGGTTGGATCAGATTTTCCTCCTCACTGCTGGCTGATAATACTAGTAAGCCATGACCTCCAAAAGTTTGGGCACTTTTGCAGTTAATGTATAGAAGGAAGAGGCTGCTCATAGGCAACCAATAAATATTCCTGATGATCATAACCTTACCTGAATCTACCTTTTTAGTCCATCTATCTGACAAGGCAGATAAATGCTTACTGAAAACACCCGCAGTCAAACAGGACTCCACATCAAAGAGGAAAGAAAGGCCTGTGATAGATACAAAGGACTCAAAATATCTGTTTCTGTTAAACACCTTTAAATTATTAACTTAGATTTGAGTCATGCAGAAACTAGGCATATCAAAGTTGCCATAGGCAGCCAAATAACATCCCTGCACACTGATCAGAAGCAATGAGTACATCCTGGCTGCAATGCCAGGAACTCCAGAGTGACCAAACGAAGAGCACAGGGGTAAAATGAAGGCACAAAGAGCTGTTCAGATGGAAAGCGCAATAAAAACAAAGCTGGATGGGGCAGTGCTGTCCCTTAGGAGTTGTCCATGTGACAGGTACCATCACAGGACAATCAGACTACCCACATCCATGACACAATGACAAGGCGTCATCACACACAACTTCCTGCATCTTAAAACTCAGAAATGCAAGTGACCCAAGAAGGTACAAGCCATCAGTTATTATTACTTACTGACTAAAAGGAAAAATTATTTAGACCTAACATGGAGGCAGGAAAACCCCCTCTGGCTGTTCAATTCAGAGAAAGTTATTTCACCAGAGGGTATGAATATGTTAAAAAAATAAACAGCTTGAGCCTGGAGCAACTAACTATCCTACTTCCCCTGCCTCTTCTAACGAGTTAGAAATTTATCTGGGATAAAATGCATCGATGACAAGTATTATTGACCAACAGAATTATTAAAGAATCAAAAGAGGTTTTGCACACAGGACACATTAAAGCTACATCAGGGAAAAAAAAATAAAGGAAGAAACAGCAGTTCCAAGTTGTCTAAGACCTGGTGGAGTATTTCTAAATGCATTAAAAGATTTGATCAGTTTGCAGCAAAAGAGAAAGGGCTGCCTTGCCTCTTCAAGAAATACTTCTCTTTCTGTAAAATTTCTGTTTAAAAAAAACCAAAACCTCTGCAAAATTTTTGTTTCCAGTAGATAGTTTTAGAGACCAAAATAAGGGCAGAAAGAAATACAGCAAGCCAAATGAAAAAGCTACTGGTAGCACAAACTACAAGAACAATACATCTCTGAATTTTGCTCTATTTTAAATAACACTACAGGCTCACAGGATATTATTAAAAATGAAAGATACAATTAACAGAAGATTTAGCCTAAGTGAAGAAAAGCAGAAATGGCTGAGTGGGAACTAAAATGGGTAAACTTAAAATAACTATCCAATAACAGTCACTATTAGACAGCCATGAGATAAATATTGTCATACTATATAATCTTTACCTATAAATATTTTGGAATGTCAAAGAAACTGGGGAAACACCCAGTACTGATGAAATACATAGCCTAGGTTGTCATAACCTAATATAAAGCAATTCCTGGCAATTGCATTGCATTATTTTCATGACACTACCTTCCAGTTCTTATCCTTAGTAGCATCACCAGAAATCGTGCCTTTCACCCTTAGGGTAGAGGACACGCTTATCATAAAAAGAACATTAACTGAAAAAAAAAACCACAAAAGAAAACTTAGAGATGTGTTAGTTAGAAAATTAGATATGTGCTTCCACAATACTATGCAGCTGTAGATTCTTATGCAGAAGGATGATCCTTGAGACTGTCTCACCTGTCATGAGAACTACATATGGACAACTACATCCACCTTGACTAGCAGGCAAAAAGCCCTGGCAAAGTAAAAGGAATAGAAAGACAAGCTGGGTATGTCTTTATAATGATAGTCAAAAGCATTGAAAGTAAGTGACAACAGCATTTATATCCTTGTCTCCTCCTTCCTTAGGCAGAAAGGAAAAATAATTACTTAAGTGGTTTAGAGAAATCTTTAGGAGTATTATTTTACAGCAGCTTTGATTAAGAAAATAAAAATCCCACTCAAAAGCAGAAACACTTCCTGCTGATAGGATCCTTCAAACAATGGGTTATCTCCAGATATGGAACACTGGGATGGATTAATGGACTCCTTGGAGTAATCTGTAGGAGCAACCAGCCTCACATCCATGGTGTGAACTGATGAGCTGGAAAGCTCCTGGCTCACATATAAAGGAATGAAGGTGTGTTGAAAAATATGTTACAAAGTGCTTTCGAAACCTGAAAGTGGAAAATAATGAAAGTGCAGAACAAAGACATCAATCTTGTCTCTACTACTGACCAGCAGCCAAATAATTCACTCTGCCATCAAGATGGGCCTGATTTGAACTCTCTGAACTGCAGCAGCACTGCACACCAGTGACCCTTCCCCTGAGCAGGGAGGCCTCTTGAAGTTTGGGATCCCTCACCTGAGACAGAGATCCTTCCTTACCTGTGGCAGAGAGACCCCTTACTCACAACAGATCCTCAGTGAGTGAGTGATAGTGTGCTGAATTAATGCTATGAAACAGCACCAATCCATATATAGTTACTCAATACTGTTATAAACATTATATGGATAATTCCACTAGACATAAATCCTTGTCCGAATCTGAGACTAAGACTGGACTAAGCCACACTTAAGGTTCATCAGGAATTTAGAAAGCAAGGGGGTCTACTCTGAACTTTGTGACTCAGCAGGAAGGTCTCCATTACCCTTTTCGTCTCTCTGTGTGAATCATTCCAACTCAATTCTAACTCAGTTTTCCTTGTTATGTTTCTTCCATGCAGTAATTAATGAGATGAACCTGGCAATCAAACTTACAGAATGTTGTCAAACCACCGTTAATCTTCATTAATTTCCATCAAACTGTCAAATTATTAATTTACCTCAATAAAACATATTGCTGCTTCTCTTTCCAGTGAGCTGCATTTCAGTCATCTGTGACAAATAGCACATAACAATGACTACCAAGTACAGCCATCAACCACCATCAGAAAGAGTATTTTCAACACCTTCTTTCAATACTCTGCAAGACCTGAGCACCCTGTTGCTCCTCAGAGTATCATCTGCACTCCTTTGCAACTCAGCTTTATAACGCCTCTTACTCCAGGGACAATGACAGCAAAGACAGTTTCTCAGTGCTTCAATCTCACCAGGTTCCACCAAGTAAACAGAATCCAAAAATACAACAGCTAAAGGTGAAAAAAGAACCACAAGGCTATAAAAGTCAAATGAAGTTTGCCACTGATATCAATGGGACCAGGATTCTTTAAAATAACTAGGACACTAACAAAGAACACATGAAATGGGAGAATGCTACCAAATCTATTTCCTCAGGAAGTCAACAGTGGCTTGTACTGCCCTTTCATTTCAATTTACTATGATTTCTAGCAAGTCATAAAGAGCATCCTAGTGTTGTTGAACAAATGGTTTTCTGTGAAGCCACACCATATCCTCTTCACTGGTAAAATGATAAAAAAGACCACTTCCTTAAGTATACATTACCTTAGCAGCAGAAGGTGCTCCCCTTGACTGTGTTTTGGGGGGTTGGCTGACATTAGCAGTTGCCTCTTTTTCCTACAAAAAAAAAAAAAAGAAACACATAATAAAGATCAGAAATATTTATGAAGGGAAAAAAAAAATCAAAAAAAGGACACTAAAAAAAATTTCAATCAGAACATTTTTGCAAGGCAAGTCATCAAAAAATAAATTCCCCTATGTCACTTTAATTCACACAGGCACATTTCACACAGTGTTGCCCAGCCCAGAACAGGCTGAGCTCTCTTGCACTGTTTTATGGCTCATATATCATGGCCAGGCTTCACGAACGAAGATTTGGGGAGGGCTCTACCCATGTTTGTTACAAGCGCGCTGGTGGCTGAAAAGGCCAATACAAGATAGGCACATCCAGTTGCAAAAGGCACAGCAGAAAGACTCCTTAGGTGGTATATTCTGCAAGACACGATTCTTTCTGCATTGTCTTTTCTCCTCAAGAGTGATCCTGCGTGCTTCCTCAAAGGCATCAGCAGTGTTATAGATGGTGTGTCTCCAGACGTCCCGATTGGAGGCCAGAGTAGACCAGTTATGGTGATCAATATGGCCAAGGCTGAGATGTTGTTTCAGGGAGTCCTTGTATCTTCTCTTTGGGGCTCCTCTCTTGCGGCAGCCAGTGGCAAGTTCACCATAAAGCAAGATCTTAGGGAGGCGGTGGTCCTTCATCCTGGAGACGTGTCCTGCCCAATGCAGCTGTGTTCTCAGCAACATGGCCTCTATACTTGTGACTGCTGCTTGTTCTAGAACAGATGTATTGGTCACATAATCTGAGCAGTGGATGTTTAGGATTGTATGGAGACAGCGTTGATGGAAGCGTTCTAGGAGACGCAGGTGGTGGCAGTAGATGACCCATGATTCAGATCCATATAGGAGAGTAGACAGCACTATGGCTCTGTAAACACTGATCTTGGTACTTTTCTTCAAGTGTTTTTTACACCATACTCTTTTATGAAGCTTTCCGAAGGCACTGTATGCCTTTGCTAACCTGTTGTCTATCTCTCTGTCAATCTTACCATCCGAGGAGATGAGGCTACCTAGGTAATTAAACAGCTGGACTGATTTGAGCTCTGATTGGCCAATGGTGCTATGGAGATGATGGAAGACTTCCTGAGGTGCAGGTTGATAGAGAATTTCTGTCTTCTTCAAGCTGAGTTCCAGCCCAAAGAGCTCAGCAGCGTCTGCAAAGCAGGATGTTAAACGCTGCAGAGCTGTTTCTGTGTGGGCGACAAGGGCAGCATCATCAGCATAAAGCAGAGTAATACCATGGTAATTTGAACAGTCTGATTTAATTCCTTTCTTCTTATACAGGGTTATGATGACTGCATCTCGAAGGTCTGATGGTAGTTTGCCTAGTTCCCAACAGCATAGTAAGAACTCATGAAATTTAGCATGGAGTGCAAGGCCCCCATGTTTCCAGACTTCAGGTGGAATTCCATCAACCCCAGCTGCCTTGCCAATTTTCACCTGCTGTATGGCCTTGAGGGTTTCTCCTAAAGTGGGGGCAGTATCCAATTCATACTTCACTGGTTGTTTTGTGATGGACTGAATTGCTGAGTCTTGGACTACACAGTTGGTACTGAAAAGGGTCTGAAAGTGTTCAGACCAATGATTCAGAATGGAGGTTTTATCTGTCAGAAGCATTTGACCATCAGCGCTGAGCAGAGGGCTTTGGACTTGGTATGCTGTTTTCAGGGCTTCATAGAACAACCCTCTGTGATCACTTATAATTGAGTTTTTTCAGCTAGATCAATCCATCAATTGTTCTGGATGTCACAGTGTTTCTGTTGGAACTTGCTGCATCCAAGACGAAAGGCTGTTTTTCTTATGTGACAGGATGGCAGTGCAAAGTGTGCTTAGTGGGCGGTTCTCTTCATCCTCAACAATTCCTGGAACTCTTGATTGTTATCATCGAACCAGTCCTTGTTCTTCTTGAGGGAGAACCCTAAGGATTCTTCAGAGGACTGCTGGATGCTGTTTTTAATATGGTGCCAAAGTGTTTCAGTAGAGATATCTGTAGAATCTTGGAATGATTTTTGAGCCTAGTTTGAAGATTTGCCTGGAATTTGTTTCTCACTGTGGCTGATTGGAGATTGTTAACTTGGGAGTCTCCTCCTTGGGATACTGCCCCTTTTAGGTTTGAATTTGAGATTGAAGTTGAGTTTACAGCGCACAAGCCAATGGTCTGTTTGGCATTCTGCGCTGGGCATCACGCGGGTATGGAGGACATCACGGACATCTCTCCGTCACACTAAGACATAATCGATGAGGTGCCAATGCTTAGATCTGGGGTGCATCCAGGTTGTCTTCAGACTATTTTTCTGCTGAAAGATAGTATTAGTGATGGTGAGCTGTTGCTCTGCACAGAATTCTAGTAGAAGTCGACCATTATCATTGCAGTTTCCAACACGTTTGCCTAATATTCCTTTCCAGGCTTCAAAATTCTTTCCCACTCTGGTGTTGAAATCACCAAGGATAATGATCTTATTGTCTGCAGGAATCTTCTGGGTAAGGTGGCGCAGGTCGGTGTAAAATTTATCTTTTTCAGCAGGGTCAGCTTGGAGAGTTGGGGCATATATACTAAAGAGGACAACGTGCTGCTTGTTGTGTAGTGGAAGGCGTAGGAAGATAATGCTGTCAGAGTGACCTGTTGGCAGATTTTTGAGTTTAGGAACAATAGAGTTTTTAATCATGAAGCCAACTCCTGAGAGATGCTTTTCGGTTCTGGGCTTACCTGACGAAAAGAGTGTGTAACTGGCACCATGTTCTCTGAGGCTTCCTTCCTCGTGGAGATTAACTTTACTGAAAGCAGCAGTGTCGATGTTGAGACATGACAGTTCATGGGCAATCAGGGCAGAACGATGCTCAGGATGTCCACTATCCGCCGAATTGAGCATGGTTCTGATGTTCCAGTATGCTAGAGTTAATTTAGGTACACCTTTGGAGGCAGGTGTATATGCCTTTGTCTTTTGATCTTTGTGTGACTGCATTTGTAGAAGATGGCCATTTGGCTTTGCAAATGTGGGTAAGACCTTCAAGCCTGTACAGTGGATTTTTTAGGTGAGACACAGTATGCACGGAACTGAACCCACCTTTTAATTCTAAGGTTCATCTGTCAGGGCCGAGCGAGCTTGGACAGTGGCAGCGAGGTCCTCAGGACGTAGGTTTAATTAGAGTGACCTTCTCTTAGACGGATGGCCTTACAGGGCTAAGCAAGCTCCATCTGCCTGGGTTTAGAGTTGTCCTTCTCCTTTGTGTGCTCTGAGGCTCCCCCTGTCATCTCCCATGAGGGCACAGTCCACACCGGCACCCCCTCTCTCACTCTTTTCCACGCCCCGGGCCGGGGACCGCCAGGGGCGCCCTGCACCTGGGGCACCTATGGCTCATATATAAATCTGTGCTATCTTCTGTGGCAGAGTGACTCCATTTTAAGTAACAGTTAAAGCAACAGAAACCATATATTATTTAATGAAAGATATCAATGAAAATAAGAATGTCAAGCTATTGCTGTTCAGACATAATTTGAATGATAACCCAGAAAGTAACATCACCCTCAGGGAGGGAGGTAAAGGTACAAAGCTAAGATCAAAATTATAGTTTTTCTAAGACGCTCAAGATTCACAACACAATTAAAGCATTCACACTTCCAGCTGCTCTCCACAAGCAGGGAAGGCTGCAGAAGGACAAAAGATTCCACCAGCAAACTCAGTAGCACCAGTTTTTAATGGATTGGGCACTAGATATTGGAACAGACTGGGGCATCTGGAGACCTCTGTCATTAAGGTGGAGCTTCTGTTCTCTTTCTGATTTAGCTCAAAAATTTGGAGATCATCTGGAGTAAACAAAGCTGCACATTCAACAGTCACCTCCAGTCAGAGCCCACGCAGTGGGCCACCCACTGTGGCCATTTACCTAAGATTAACATCACCAAAATATGGCCCAGAGGTACAAACTGAAACAATTACAGACATGTACATCAAGGATGTCACACTTAGTACTGGCCACACTGGAAACAATGACATCCCAGTAAGACTTCACAGGAATGTTCCAAAAACCAAGAGTAAAAGTGATTTTTCCTGCTATAGAGGACTGTGGCTGCCTCCTCCTGGTGTCCCAGCCCAGGACCCTCCTGCATAGCTGCTAAAGCCCAGTGTTGCCCAGCAGAGACCAGTACTACCCAGTACTGACTCTGTAATACACAGATCCTTCCACTTCTAATTAGGTTGTCCAAGTAATTAAAAATTTGAAGTGCTACTCTCCCAATTTCAGAGAGAAAAGAAATAAAAAAAATCACCAAAAAAAAGAGCAGACCTCTGAAGAGCAATCAGTATTCTGGGTATGCCTTCAGTATCATAGATCTTGACTGACACCTCAGGCTCAGCCTTTGGTTCAGGGTCTCATGGTTCATGGTTTTCAGGATGTACTTTTGGTACTGAAAACTATGGTGCTGTGATGCTCTTAAAAATCTCAGAATCACAAAATACCACAAATCCATACATAAAGTACTGAAGGAGTTTTTATGATACCTACCAACACCCTCAAAAATTTCAAGCACAAGGCTAATTTTCCTCATCCCCACCAAGCCTGAAGTAGAAAAAAAACCCCAAAAACCAACCAAACAACTAATAGAGTGAAATAAATCCTTGCCCTGAGTATGAACTTATTTTAACCCACTAAACAGAATAAAGAAAAAATTGTTAATGTAAATGTTTCTCTGTTTCGTGGTAAGCAGAACAGAAATAAAGGTAGGAGAGACAGAGAAGAAAAATAAGCAAATACATTCTCTGGAATAGAGAAAGATTACCTAGAGATAAGCTACATGGAAAGTTAAGCCACCAGATCAAATGAGTATTTACTGAATACTGTCCACAACATACTAAGTAAAGTAATAGGTGTTAGCTCCCAGGATCATCTTTCAAAAATAACCTCTTTGGTACTTAATACATTTGTAAAAGCACAAAGATTGGCCACATCATACTATTAGGTTCATCCTTCTTTCACTCTTATTAATATAATGATGTTATGTG